ATCGACTGAAGCCCCCCACAGTGGTCAGCCAGACTGCGCAGAGACAGGCAGTCCACCCACTCGCAGTGAGCCAGGCCCAGATGCTGGAGATGCGTGCAGCTCAAGGACACAGCCACCAAGGAGTGGCGGGTGAGGGAGGCACAGCCGCTCATGTCTATCCTCTGCAGATGCTGGTTTTGGCCGATAACAGGAAGCAACTCTTTGTCTGTGACCCAGTGTGAACAGTTCTGAAGGGACAGTTTCTGGAGAACTTTATTGTCCTTTAACATTGTGCAAAATGCTTCCTTGGGGATGCATGGTCCAATCTGTAAAAATTTAAACAGAGCACAGAGTTAAATCTATACATTGATAATAATTTTGTCAAGTTGCATCCGCAAGCTTCAATATATCTATCTTATTTTGAATTTCAGTGATAGATCAACACAAAACACTGCTAGTGGGAACAAAATTACACATTTTTTTTAACATGTAAAGGTCAGACAAAAGGGAACAGTAATTGGATTTACCCTACCTCAAACTTAACTGAAATGTCTGCCTGTTATTCTTTCCACTACAGCTCAATATTAGCAAGCTAGAATGGGGCGCAGCCACGGAGATGGATCTTAAAGTCTTGCAACAGATTCTTCACTCAATTTAGTTCTAGACTTTGATTGGTCCATTTAAACATATGGAAACTTCTTATTCCAAATCTTTTCTATGTAGTTCTGGGTGTATTTTTAGGATTTTCTCCAAGTAAAATGTGAAAACTACATTCTTATATGAAGCTGCTGACTAAGATTTTTCACTTGCTGCTCTGTATTTATCACAATCCTTCTTCTGTCCCTACTGAGGGACCATTCTGCCATGTTTTGGGTTGATTTAGCATGTAGACGTAGAGTTAAGTTAAGAAAAATGCCTATTTTGAATCTCACGCAACTAGAGCTGCTTTATCCACTAGTTTGATGTGTCAGCAAAGCAGCTTTTTGGCACTTTTTGACAACATGACTTAGATTTACTGTATTCTAATAGTGGTTTTCCTTTAGTCACATTTACATAAAGGTCACACTGCAAAAAAAAAAAATAATCTAAAGTAATCTCTACTTAAATAAGTGCATTTTTTCTTTAATTGAGGAGGTAAGTGAGACACTTTGCCAATGTAACAAGACAATTTACATTTAAAATAAGAAAAACAACTGCAATCTTTTATTTCAAGTGCGTATTATCTAATTATCTTATTTTAAGAGTAAATATACTCATTCCATTGGCAGATCATCTTATTAACCTGCTCAATTTAAAGGTAAATACACTTGATATAAGAAATGTTGACTTATTTCTAGATCGTTTTTGAAATGTATATTTAAGAAGTGCAAAACTAACAGTTATTCTACTGATAAAGCCTGTGGATATCTGCTCTTCATGACCAGCTCTGTGTTGTTTGGTCACCATTTATCTCCAAAAAAACCTACGAGGAATAAAAATATACAAAATAAAAATCAACATATTATCAAGTGAAAGGGAATGATTTAATTCAATTTGGTGGTGGTGGGGAAGGGGTTTTATATTTGGTCCAATTTTGAGGTGTGTTTAAAACTGTCCTGCAAATTACAAACTTAGTCTTTATATTAGGATTCATTTCCACTGTATTTACTTTATTTACTAATTATGTATCATCTGAAGGGATTTGTTGGACTGGGCTTTATTTGGACCATGGCTCTAGAAATTTGGCATAAAAGCAAAGTAAAAAGTAAAAATCATAAAAGCAGAATTATATTTTTTTAAATAAAATAAAATTAGAAAATTCAGGTTTCATTTTTTTTTTTTTACTAGAATAATTTCACTGAAACTTCCAATTAGAATCACTTTTTTTTTATAAGGATAAAAGAAATATAATTTTCAGTGTTATTTCCCACAAACATCCGCATCCCAGAAGAAAATGGGTCCATCCTATTTTTTACAGTAGCGTTATATGTCCTGAACAAACACATAAGGATTAAACACAAATACAAAAGAGGAAAAAAATATTTAAAAGATAAATAGCTGGTTGTTTGTGCACAGTGCCGCAGTGGTTAGCACTGTTGCCTTGCAGCTAGAAGGTTCTGGGTTTGATTCTCTGATTTGCATGTTCTCCCTGAGAATGAGTGGGTTCTCGCCGGGTACTCCGGCTTCCTCCCACAGTCCAAAAACATGACTGTTAGGTTAATTTGCATCTCTAAATTGTCCTTAGGTGTGAGTGTGTGTGGTTGTATGTGTTTGTATGTCTCTGTGTTGCCTTGCAACAGAATGGTGACCAGTCAGAATCAGGTTTGCTTTGCTGATTGAGGGCTAAATGCACTTTAGGTTATATTTAAGAGTATTATCACAAAGGAGGCAGACCACAAATAAACTATACTCTTCAGATTTCTGCAGAGTAAGACCTTAAAATCCCTCAACATGGTAGTTATAAACTATTTTTTATTCTGTTTCATCTATTTTACAACGCACTGCTCCTGATTATAGTGAGCTTTTTGTTTTTACTTACGGAAGAAACATTAAAGGTCCTGCAGTTGGCCAGGTACACCTGGACCAGTGTTTGGAACTGCTTGCTGACCCTCTGCAGGCTCACAATGTGCTGCAGCGGTAAATAGGACAATATGTGTGGAACAAGAACGTCCTCCCACGGCAAATCCAGGAGATGACATCTGCAGGAGAGGAAAAACCCTGTTTTCACTGAACTTTGACTCTACAAACACTCAAACAAAAACAACCTCAATACATCAACAAATATAGGTGTAAAATAAATTTAATGATGTCTTATAAAGCACGAACACATCGCAGGATATGCTTGGCCAGGCGCTTAATTATATCTAAGCTAAATCACCAGTTATGCTATAAATAAATGGAGCTGCTTCCGCTATTAGCTATTAGCTAGTCTTCCGGGGACCATCAATTCAGCTGTTTTTTTTAATAATATATAAATTCTTTTATAAGATACTCACGTCTGCCCTTTGTCTTCTTCATCCATCGCGAACCCGATGTATTATACGCTGTTTATTACGGTATAATGTTCATTACAGTGACACATAAGGAGCGTTTTTCGCCTTAGCATCTTGGAAAGCGTTTAAGGTGTAACCCAAACCGAAAGATGCGTTCACGGACTGTCGGAACAAAAAGGTTAGGAGGAAAAGTTGGCTGGGCAGGTCGTTTCGGTCCAGTTTAAGTAAATTTATAAAGCTGGAAGTTTTTCTACCAGTCAATAAAAAAATAAAGATTAAAAAACAAAATAAAAACTTATAAAGGTGGAGAGCGATTTTGATTTTGCTCCTATTTAGTTTGGATTTTGACGGATTTGTGTAGTAAATGCTGCAATACCTCACGATAACGACACATCCTATTTCTTTTTTGGGGGGTTGAGATTTGCGATATTGTTTTTAATGATATCATTAAGAAAAATATATACATTTGTGTCGGTTTAATATAGTTATTCTGGAAATAAATCAGTCATTGTAACATTTACGGTGAACACTTGAATCTATCACCAGTATACTTTTCTTTCTGTAAATGATGAGATTATAATTTGATTAATTTCTTCTGGCTAATTAGATTTTTTGCAAAGCTAATACATTTTCATTATTACTTATTATTATTTCTTTATATTATTCTAAAGTATGAATGCTAACATTAAAAATATATATTATGTGGGACTTTAGAAGGAAAGTAACTTGTCCATGACAGCAACAGTGGCGTTCTGTAAAGTAAAAGTAAAGTAAAATAAATGATGCCTCAATAAATAAAATAAACTTTTTTGTGCTTTAAACAATTAAAACAGCCATGCAAAAAAAAATAGTCAGAGATGATAACATGATCGATGTATCTTAACTTTTATATATATTATGTGGACAAGCAAATAAAAAATATATATTTTTTATGAAAATAGTACATACATCAGTATGAAATATTCTCATAAATAAGTTTTTGATTACATGTATAAGTAATGTGATATTACGAAAAACAAAACAGCATTTACTATTTTATTTTTGTATCTGATTGTATGACTTTAAAAGCATGTTATTATGCAAGCCCAAATAATAAATATAGATGTATGTTAGTACTTATTCATGCAATCAGTTTAAAATCCTCTCAGTATATTGACACATTTTTTGTACATGAAATTAATATAATTTGATTAATTTTCTTCTGACTAATTATATTTTTTGCAAAGCTAATAAATTTTTCATTATTACTTATTATTATTTGTTTATATTATTCTAAAGTATTTATGCTCTATATTTGTGGGACTTTAAAAGGAAAGTAATTTTTCCATGATATCAACAGTGGGGTTCTGTAAAGTAAAAGTAAAGTAAAATAAAACAAGATGCTTCAAGAAATAAAATTAAAAAAAATACATTAAAATAATCTGTTTTGTGCTTTAAAGAATTAAAACAGCAATTCCACAACCAAGTCAGAGATGATAACATGATCGATGTAGCTTAAATTATATACATTATACGGACAAGCAAGAAAAAAAAGAACTGCATTTTTTTATGAAAATAACACATACTTCAGTATAAAATATCCTCATAAAAAAGTTTTTGATTACATATATAAGTAATATGATATTACAGGTACTGTAAATGTAATTGCAATAAAAATATGTATATATTTTTTTAAAACAGCATTGACTATTTTATTTTTGCATCTGATTGAATAACTTTAAAAGCATGTTATTATGGAAGCCCAAATTAAAAATATGGATGTATGTGAATACTAATTCATGCATTCAGTTTAAAATCATCTCAGTATATCGACACATAGGAATGAACTGTTTAATTAATCATCAGGTTCCAAACAGCTGTATATGTTTTAAATAGTGGTTTCCCAGGTACCAATGTATTGAACAGTTAGCTACCCCAACCAGCTCATCTCTGTCTAGTCAAACAATGAAGTCAATCATGCAGAACAACTGCTGACCAATGAGTTATATTTCAGTGAATGACACCATTCAGGAGGGCAGTTGAGTAAATTCCCACTCAGTCCACATGAAAGCAACAGAGCCAGAATGGAAGCCAAGTCGATATATGATTTTTCTGTTGAGACGTTGGAAGGAGAGAACGTTCCACTGAGCGTTTACAGGGGAAAGGTGCTGCTCATTGTCAATGTTGCCACCTTCTGAGGGTCAACGATTGAGGAGGTGATTCTTCATGCTTACTGCAATGTGTTGCCACCTATTTAGTCTTACTGAACCATTATTTTTTATATTCTCTTAGTATCACAGAATGAATGCACTAATGGAAATGTTTGGAGACCTGAATTTTACCGTATTAGGATTCCCCTGCAATCAGTTTGGTCTTCAGTCACCTGGTAGGTATATGCTCCTGTCTCATGGAATTTCATTTATTTATATTGAACTATGTTTATCAGGCAAACACCAATGTATTTACAATACAGGGGGGGAAATAACTGTATGTTAATTTCAAAGTTAATTAAAGCAAAAAAAGGAGATCTTTTCTCTTTTATTTTCAGTTCAAACTGCGCTAACATCGGCGACTCTAACCCATATGCATTTCAGATTTTATTTATTTAAAAAAATGTTCTATTTATTAAAAAAAGATAAGGATAATATTTTGTAATATTATCCTTTTGTAAACAAACGATCTTAAGATCTTGCGGATATTAAAAATACCCAAATAAAGAGTTAGAGATAAAAAGTTTGATTTTGTTTATTCTAATGCATTTAATATTTTCTCCTATTGTGTGCTTTTATATATTTATATACTGTCCAGATCTAAATCTTACATACACTCATTCTTTACCTGCTCCCACATTATTTTTGTATTTTGAAGTGATATATTGGAAACATTTTTATCTGAAATAATGATTATAAAGCAAACAACCACAATAATGTTTAAAGAAAGAGATTTTGCAGGAGTTTGAAGTAATGTTTGAATAACTCTAACCCACCTAGGTTCAAAATGATGCATAAAGGATCAAATGTTTACATACACTCCCATTAATAGATGGCTGAATACACTTTTTGTTCCAATAAGCAAAGTCCTGCTGAAATTCTGGTAGGATGTTCATTCTTCTAGATAGAGATGCTAAAACTGATGTTAAAGTCAGTGATGTTATTTGTTTAATCATGTTGCATCCTTAAGAAATGTTAATTCAAATACAATTATAAAAGCCCCCAAATTATTGACATTAATGAGCATGATGCAAGAATGTAAACTTCGGACTGACTTAAATTTTTGAGCATGTTTACTTAGTGGTGCTTGACCTTGTTTGATATCTCGCAACTGTATTTAAGAAGTAGCAGTGAGCACTTTGCATATCACATTAATCATGAAAATCCAAATTTCTATCTTCATATGATATGTGATGTCAGAAAAAATTATTTCTATATGTATATTTTTTTAGAGGTGAATGAGGAAATGCTTAATATACTTAAGTATGTGAGACCTGGTGGTGGGTTTATCCCAAAGTTTCCTGTATTTGCCAAGGTCGAGGTAAATGGATTAAACGAAGAACCTCTTTTCACATATCTAAAGGTACTCAGCATTCTAGAAATTATTTAGTCAAAGGATTCAGGCTATTAACAATTTTTTTTTTTTGATTAACATGGTTCTCTACAGGAATCTTTGCCATTTGTGAATCCTCTAATTGGAGACATAAAGAAGTTCTACTGGTCCCCAATAAGTGTCAATGACATTAGATGGAATTTTGAGAAGTTTCTTTTTAAGGCAGATGGGACCCCTTTCAAAAGGTAAAGATGACAAAGTTTTCAAGCAATATAAGCCAGTCATTTGTTCTGTTTCAAACTGTATATTCACCCTGTGATGCAGGTATGAACTTCATTACCCCGTCGAAATGGTGGAGAAAGACATAGCAGACCTTCTGTGATGGACATAAGGGAAACCACTTCGTTGTGGTAGGGTGACGATCACTCAGTAAATGCTCATGTGCAGCTGAGCTGAATCTGACTGGAAGAGGATCATGTATCAGAGCTTCAGTGCATTCTCTCTGAGAACAGATTCCCCTTCAACCACTCGAGGAGTTTCCATATTACTGCTGTTTTTTTTTTCTGAAAATGGAACTGGAGGCGCAGAAAAGAAATTAGAATAAAAAACAACATTGAAAAATTCTATTTTTGTTCCCTTGTCATTACTAATTTTATTTATTGATCAACTAATTCGTTTCTGTTAGCTCTCATTAGTGGAGTTCAAAGAGATTATAAAATCAAGAGTTGTGTAAAGACAAGGCAAGTTTATTAATGTTAAAATTTTGTTCAATAATTAGTGTGTCCAACTCTGAAGATATGTAAGTTACATGGCTGGAGGAAAGTAAGACTGCATCAAACTTAATTACATATGTCTTGAACAAATCCAGCATTGAGCATAATCCAACAATAATATCTTGTAAATAGGGCTGGTGTTGGTTTATGAAAGATGCCGAGGCTCTCACTAAAGGTTCTACCCTTTATGTCAGCCTCTATATTAGGGAGCTGAGCTTCTACACCAATGTACTAAACGATTTATTTGCCTTAAATATATTTGCCTTATTTGCCTTAACTACTAAAGAGGAGTTGGTGGCTTAGTGGTTAGTGAATAATCCCTGATTGCTCCCAGAGTGCCCCATGATGGCAGGCCACTGCTCTTCAAGGGAATGGTATAAATGCAGAGGTGAATTTCTTTAATGTGAGCTCAATAAAGTTCAATTGTTAATAAACAACTGTTCTTATGGATATTTATGGGCTATACAAAGGGAATGCATGTATATGAATTGAAAGAAAATTAAACATAGTGTTTAAGGTTTTTAAAACTAAAATGTGCTTTTTTTACCCTCCCCCAACAAAAAACAAAAAAAAAGTAAAGGTAGTTGCAGTTGTACACCACATTCTTTAGTCCATCCAAAGTTGATGAAAATACATTACTTTGACGGATCACAAAAAATGGCTACATTTAAAAATTCTTATTTTATTATTAGAGAAACTGATTTTCTTAGAGGAGTAAAAGTGTTACCAGAGTCCATCGGTTGGTGGCGGTAATGCACCTTATTGCTGTTTCCCACCAGCCGATAAAATAAAGAAGAAGACTTTTTTTTTTTACTTTTTAAAAAAACTTTATTTACAAAATCAAACAAGTGACATTTTGCTAGAAAGAACTTAAACTAGGAGCTTGTTATATTGTAGTTCTCCACCATCTGACACAGTACATAACATTTTGTTAAAACCCCATAACTGCATAATTCAATTCAATTCAGTTTATTTATATAGCGCCAAATTCACAACACATGTCATCTCAAGGCACTTTACAGTTCAACCAGATCAT